AACAGTTTGTCACAGCCCCTCATTTGTTGTCCTCTTCTCCCTCTCTGCCTACGGTTTACCGGGCAGTTCTATTTGACGATATATGTATATATATAGTTTGTCACAGCCCCTCGTTTGTTGTCCTCTTCTCTCTCTCTGCCTAAGGTTTACCGGGCAGTTCTGTTTGTGACGATATATATATCTTTGTTTTTTTATCCTTTGATTCAGTGTAAATAATTTTTGTAAAAGACTGAAAGAAATAATAATACTGTGAAACAAAGTGTCATTCTGGTTTGTCTGTCTCTTTGCCTGTCTTTCCTTTCATTTTTCTTTTCTTTGCTCATCTTGTTTCTTCTTCTACTTCACATGCTCATGCTCTTAGTCAATAGTTCTGTGACAATATATATATATATACCCCATCCTTACAATGTGTGTCCTTTCTGTCGTTAAGGACAGCCTCATTCTTGAGCTTTTTCTTGCCCTTTCCTTTGCCCTCTTCCTCATTCTACACTCCGTATTTTCCCTCTTCCATTCTTTGTTTGTCCTCTCTCTGTCTCTTTTCCCTGTGTTTAACACCTTCCCCTTCACTCTGCCTCTCTCACAGCGTGCAAGTGGGCTGTTTTGGCATACGGGGATGGGGGCAGCTCGCGCTCAACTTCATTAACGTGGTGAGCCTTGCACGTGAGAGGCACAGTGGAGGTGGAGTTCAAAGAAGAATGAGAAATTTAATGGTTTCAATCTGCCCCTGCTTTTTCTTTTTCTTTTTGTTTTTATTTTTGCAATGTGCCCGTTTTTTGTTTTTATTCTTTGTTTCGCAAAGTGCGCTCTTTTAGTTTGTAGTTATGTGACAATATAATCTGTCCCTGCTGTCCTCCCGCCACAGCTGAAGAATTTGGCAGTTTTGTGGTGGGGGAAAGATTGTGATAGTCATTTCGATGTGTCTGGGAGATGGGATTCCCCTCTCGAGGTTGGCAATGGTCGTAGATGTGTCTGGGAGATGAGATTCCTCTCTCGAGGTTGACAGTGCTTGGAGAATGGCTTGCGTCGAGCTAATGTGGAATAGCCAGATGCATATGCAGTAAGTGTTGCCATGAAAGAAGAGCGCATTGACAAATGGGGTGTGCTTTCTTTGGCTCGTGATCATAAATGGCAAGACTCACTTGAAAGATAACACAACATGCAACCTATCATTTACACTTGGGCGTCTGGTGGATGTGTGCTGCTGTCATCTGGCCTCTCCATGATTGAAAGGCAATTGGTGGAATGCGAGGCATCAAGGGTATGATCTGGGAGCCGTCTCTTCTCGATGCAAATGAGGTTGGTGAAATTCTCCGTTATCTCGGCACATCCTACTCCTGTAATTTGCCTCTGGGGTTCCTGTGCTTTTTGCAAGCACTGGATGTCCAGGAACGGGCTTGTTGCACATGCACTCCTCCCTTCCTCCCTCCATTTTTGTGGGACTAGTAAATGCATACGAATCAGCATCATTAAGAGATCAGACCAGATATGAGCTGCTGATCTGCTGAAATGTGAAATATGAACAGGGGTATCCTCCTCCCCCCTTTACGCTGCCTCCGTTCATAGTGTGCAAGGGGGCTGTTATGGAAGACGGGGATGTGGGCAGCTTGTGCTGAACCGCAATCAACATGGCAAGCCTTGTACGTTGGAGGCACATGAAAAGGAGGGCTGAAAGAAGAAATGAAAGGGGTACCCCCCAAAGAAAGCCAAGTAATGGTAGCCAAGAAAGGACTGTACAAGGAAAAGGTGATATAACGAATTTATGTGCTTCATGTATAGGGGTAAAACCGTAAAAGTCTTTCAATGTAGGATTTGCTCATCTTAGTGTGATTCATTGTCTGCTATAGAGGTAAACCTGCTGTTGTGGGGACAGTTTACAGCATAGACATGCAAGATTGGCGAGGGCAAATTGATGACTTGTGTCAAGTGTATTGCTGAGTTTTTGGTGAGGTATTGTGCCCAAAGATATGACACAAAGGCATTCTGCACTGACTGAAAGTTATTATTTAATATTTACCCTCCTGATGAGCTGGTGAAAGTATGGCAAAATTGTATGTCGCCGTTGGGGTTTATCGGAGTTCTGTAAGCATGATGAGGCGAACACAAAGACACATCAAAGACGAAGTCACAAGTACCGGCACCATGCAACACAAACAACATGCCTGCCACACACAAGCCCCTACCTCTGCCTGCTGCTGGCATACGTCCAAGTCAGTGCACAGTGCACACAGGACAGGCACAGTGTACAGTTTAGGACATGTAATGAAATTGCATCGGTGTTTGATCAGGGAGACTTTTCTAATCATTCACTCCTTAGCATGGAAATGGGTACGGAATCTACGGATGGATTTTTTGGGGTTAACTGACATTTTGTTAAAAAAGACATTTTTAATTGGACGAATGAATGGCATTCCTTTGTCATTAGGTCATAAAAATATGCCAAAAACAGTGTCAAATCATGCATTAGAGAGCTTTTTATGCTTGCTGTCGGGTGAACACCAGGAATTGTGTAGTATCACTTTTTTGCACATTTTACGCCCCAAATGACAAGTGAATTCTGTTCGTTAGACGATGTTCCTTCTGGTAGTGTAGCAGCATGGGTTTGCAATTACCAAAGAAAAAGGAAAATTGAGAGATTTAATTTCGTGCAATTGCAAAGGTCTTTTCCATGAAGCACAACATATCCTCCCCTTCCCCCCTCCCCCCTCTCCACAGAGAGAGAAATAGACAGAGAGAGGGGGAGAGAGAGAGAGAGAGAGAGAGAGAGAGTGAGAGAGAGAGAGAGAGAGAGAGGGATTGTCGTTAACGGGTAAGGAAGATAGACGATGGATCATGGTGACGTTGTTGTGGACAGAATGGGCATCTACACACAATTCATCTGTGAATGCGCAGGATGAAAATTCCTTGTAAAGATGAGCACATAGCATGAGAAGTCTGAAGTCTCTCCGTGTGGAGAAGGGACGTGGGACAACTCGTTGGAGTGTACACCGGCTACCTGTGCGTTTTGTTTCCAATCGGTTCAACTCTGCTGTGCTTGTGACAGAGACTTCCGGTTTTGCACGACTGTGACGCGCCGAAGCAAAAAGCACCATGTTCGCATGACCTTCATCTGGTTGCATGCTTGTTGTGCATCGCAAGTGGTCCTTGATTTGATGCTTTGCAAGTAGTCATGGTTTGGTGTGCATTGCAGGTAGTCATTGGAACCGGCTTTTGCTGTTGGTGCAGCTTGTTTGTGTTGACTTCTGTGCCTCCATGTCTGGTGGTTATGTATAGGGTATTCGATTCAGGGGGTTTTCTATCCCAGAATGTCAGAAGCTGCTGCCCAAGATCAAACCGGATGGCGAGCCCCTTCCAGAAGGCCTACTATGGCTTCTCATGACAGGAGAGGTAGGAATCTGTGAGCCGAACCAGGACATCGATATTGGACTGGGTGATGCGAGCCTTCTCTTGTCTGGGGGTTTCGAGGGTTTGGGAAGAATAATTAGAGAGATGGTCATGTATCATTTGTTTCAAATTGTTTCAATATTCACGCAATCTTTTGCGGACTCTTACCACTTGTACACTGCATAATATTGTTTCAAATTGTTTCAATATTCACACAATCCTTTTTCTTTGGTGTTCCTTCTCGAAGATGTGTGAATCGTTTCAGAAGTTGTTGTTTTCCAAAACCATCACGTCAGCAAAGATGTCTTTTGAAAGTGTGTGGAACCAATTCCTGTGCATCTGGCTGTCGTGCCTCTCGATTGATCACTTACACAGTTACACTGCATGGTATTTTACTCTGTGTTGAATTGAATCCATTTCTGTGCATCTCTTACTGACTGGATGGGGTTGGGTGTCTGATCTAGTTACCGCTCTGATATCTGATCTAGTTACCGCTCTGATAT